ACTGTGCAGGTTTATTCATTTGATCTACCTAGATTAGTGGTCTTGAATGGTTAGATTTGTGACATCAAGTGAGCACAATACCACTGTTATGCATTGACATTATTTCTAAATAATAATTTAAAATTTGGTAAGCCGGTTTATTTTGCCTGTTTATAATCCTGATTAATATATGATTAGTTAAGTTTTATGTATGTATGTATGTATGTATGCATGTATGGACAGTGTGTATGTATTGATTGATTTATTTTGGTCAACAAAAATCATACAGGCTACTAATAGTCCATTGAAGAGTATACGTTTTTTTATAAATATAAATTAAAAAACAAAACAACAAAACAAACAAAATAATATTAATCAAAAATACAGATCCTGATTATTAATTACAATCAGGCGTTTAAATTATATATGTACATTACTGTAACTTTATTTTGAGTCAGGCAGAACTTTATCGTAATAAGCATCAGTTTATCAAGGATTGATTACTGCTGCCTTGCTGTTTCCGCATTTGACGGAATATTGGATATCGTAGTCCACTAACTACATCTGAACCGTTGAAAAGGGGCGTGTGTTAACCTTACAAAACTACAATACCCATAATGCATCGCACCACAAGCTTGCCGAATGTACGCCGGCTGACGACGGGGTTCTGACGGGTCCAGCTAAGAGAGTCCACTTTACCTCAAACTCTTCACCGCTATCAACTTTAATTTATCAGTGGTCAGTCACCATTCATATCTGTAGAACTCAACAATGTGTTTGTGTGCCGAGGCTTTTCAATACACTGATGTGAACATGCATAACAGACGTTAGCTCTGTTGTCATGTGCTGCTTATCTCTGTTTTTGTCATGTTTGGCCAAACTGACACTTTATATCGTTTAGTTTATAGACCCTGAAACGTGTGTGTGTGTGTGTGTGTGTGTGTGAGTGTGTGAGTGTGTGAGTGTGTGAGGGTGTGTGTGAGTGTGAGTGTGTGTGAGGGTGGGTGTGTGTGAGGGTGAGTGTGAGTGTGTGGGTGAGGGTGAGTGTGAGTGTGAGTGTGTGTGTGTGTGTGTGTGTGTGGTTTCGTGAAGTAGTTAAAGAAACACGTACTGAGACATCTTATAAGGATGTAGTTATTAAAATATCAGGTATTTATCAGTATCATAACACGTTAGATCAGTATTAAGCAGTTTGTAGTGTCTGACAGTCTTATGTATACTTGCACAGGCTGAAAGGGTTCGATAAAGTGCCATTTATTGTAATAGCACAAGCAGACTTTTGAAGCAGGGTATTTCACGAATAAGGTTGGTTAAGTTTCAAATGATAAAACGGTATATACATATTGTATATATACAACATACACTTTGCAACATATTGTGACAGAGCAATTTTTGATAAAATTTTCTCGGCCATCTTTTGTGATTTTGTGTCAGGTGTTATGCACCCTAAATAAAATGAATGGATATGATCTATACTGTCTGCTCCATTAAAGACACATAAAGGAACTGTCTATATTGACATTTGTCATCGTTCTCACATGAACAGGGCTGTCCACAGACGACCATGTCTCCTCCTCGGCTCACTGGAGCCTTGCGCTCCTTTTCTACTGTCAGCAAACAGGAGGATTTAACGCAAGACATTTATGATCTAAAGGTAAGACAGCACGAATTCATCTGGAGCTTTGTTAAATGATTTGTTTAATATTTTGTCATATTTTAGTTTTGAAATCACTTTATTTGGCCTTCCGGAAGTAGATGCAATTGGGAATCATTGGTTAAGATTTATTTACAACAGAACAGAACAACCCAGATGTTCGAATTTGTGCAACGTATTTTATGGACGACCTAGAAGAGTACAAGTCTATTTCAAAAAAAAAAAAAAAAAAAGGGTAAATTCCGACTTTGCTATAACAATCTAGCGCTTCTGAATCAGCGACTGTAAGTATGTTTTGTTATTAGTTTAAGTATTTGCTATTGACTGTTCAAGTGCGGAGTTTTGCGCAGCGCAGAGTAACGCGTCGTGTGTGTGTGTGTGTGTGTGTGAGAGGGGAACAGGGTCACATCACAGGAGAGTGAACTGCCTGTCAGAAATCATAGCACGTCAGCTGTCTTAACCGCGGCTTGTGTACTGCATCACCACTGTGTCTATCACACGACTCTGTTGCACTTTCGGGCTTGAACTGATGGTGAAACTAACGACATTATTAACTGTCTTGATATTTACTTTGAAAGCTGAAGCTCGCGATTATGGTAAGGGGCGTTACATTTCCGACGAGTGCTTGCGGTGTTCGGCCAATCACAATGCACTGGGTCAGCTGGCCAATCAGAGCAGACTGCGCTTGTCGGAAGGAGGGTCTTTGTAGAAAACGAAGCGTTTGAGAGAGGCGGGGCATAGAGGACCTACAATAATGTACAGTATTTGAAAAATAATGTGTTTTTTGAACATTAAAGCATGTCAACATGTTCTGTTACACCAAATACACCAAATAATGATCTTTAAAATATCACCATATGACCCCTTTAACTTATTTTAGCATTTTAGTTTTAATGGTTTGTTGGAATTTGGTGCATGTGTTAATATAGAAGTCAACTGATGTCATCACATGCTTGTGTAATTGACTGTTTTTATAAAAGATAGTTCACCCAAAAAATTTAAGTTCGGTCATCATTTACTCACCCCAAGTTGTTCCAAACCTGTATCACAAAACAAGATATATTGAAGAATTTGTGTAACCAAACAGTTGTACTGTGGAAGTCAGTAGGGTTCATCTGCTGTTTGGTTATCTTCTTTTATATTCTTGAGGGTGAGTAAATGCTTTTTCATTCCTTTAATGGCTTACATAATGCGTGCGTATGCATGCACACTAGTGCTGGGCAGTATGACCAAACATTTATATCACAGTATTTTTCAAAATTATACCGGTTTCACGGTACATGACGGTATTTTTTTTCCATGCATGACCGGGTGTTAACCATATTTTCTACTGATTGAGAGGAAATACTGCAGTATATTGACTTACAATGCCCTATTTTACTGTCATGATGAGTGAATATTGTCAAAAAATACCACACTAAATAGTGACTAAACACGACCCCTTTTAACACATGTTAACCAGGAGTCACTCTTATTTATAATCGCAGCATCGTCTGATAAAATCAACATGCATCTACACTAAAGAGCGGCTATGCGGTTGTTTTGGCTATATTACTTTTTTGTCTCATGCAGCGCACTGCCTCGATTGAGTAACAAACAAAAAAGTGCATGTGATATTAACTGACAAACAACGCTCATATTTATAATTCCAAACAATCAGTAAGTGACAGGTGCT